CTGAGGCGCCCGAGCAACATCTCCCTGCAGGCTGCGCCGTTCCCCCCGCGCAACGTGGTGCCCAGCATGCTCAACGTTGCTGCCAACCATGCCAACGCCTCCACCGTGGGGCTGCTGCTGCGGAGCCCCGGCGCGGACACCCGGCTCCTGGTCGGGGCCACCTACACCGGCTACGGCAGCCAGTTCTTCACCTGGAACCAGAGCGTCGCCGACCACCGATTCGAGAACAGCCCGGAGATCTCGATCAGGGCCCTGAACACCACCTTCCCCTCCCACCTCTTCACCTTCGACATCAGCCCGTCGGACGACAACATCTTCAAGGTCAAGCAGAGCAGCAAGAGCCGCCACCGCCTGGTCTTCATCCGGGCATTCCGGCAGGGAGGCTTCGGCTACCTCGCCATGAACTTAGAGCCCGCCCCCGCGGGGAAGGAGAGCCGGCCCAGCAGCGTCATCGCGCGCATCTGCCTGACGCTGGATCCGCGGGGGGAGCCCCGCAAGCTCACCGAGTCTTACATCCAGCTGGGCCTGCGCTGTGAGGGGCCCAAGGGAAGCCTGTATGGGCGTTTGGTGTCGATTTTCGCGGAGCCCGGGAGGATTTTCGGGGTGTTCGAGGGCCGGGGGGATACGGCGCTCTGCGCCTACCAGCTCGGGGACGTGGGGAAGGAGATCCGCGAGGCGCGGAACGGTTGCTTCGGGAAACAGGACCACGGGGAGGTGCAGGTGCTGGATAGTGTGGTGCAAGGCAGCGGGCCCAGCTGTGAGAGGAGGAACATCAAGGTCAGTCTCTGGTCTTTATATGATAAAGATATTATTATATTCTATATATTGTACAGGGGCCACTGGGGTGGTTATTTAGGATGGTTGCTGTAAAAACTAGGACTGTGTTTCTGAGGAGACTGTAAACCCCGCCCCCCTCTACTTAAAGGGCACCTCTTGCCACAACTTTTTGTTTATTTTAGAAAATGTAGGGAAGGGTTTACTGCACTCAGGTGGGTGGATTCACACCGGAGCCCTTCATCACCGAGATAGGAAAAAAAAATCCAAAATTCTACGGCTGTCACTGGAACAGGAGGAGAGGGGAAACCTTCCATTGAGCAAACCTGCTCCAGTGCCAACAGAATGAGGCTTTCCTTTAATTCCTGAAGGTGTCACCGGGAGAGGAAATCTTCCCAACAGGCAACAAGAAAAGGGACTTGTAACCATTCCCTATGGCAACTCCGGCCCTCCAGCTGTTGTGGAACTACAAGTCCCACGAGGCATTGCAACATTGAAAGGTACAGGCATGACTTTGGGATGCATTGGGATTTGTAGTTAGTCAGCCTGCCAAAATGTCTTCCTAAAAGTATCATCCTGAAGATCATCCAAAGTCCTGTCACGTTGTGTCATTTGGTGTCACTCAGCATGCCGAGCTGTACGATGATCGCCAGGTTATCAAGTGATTGTCTCACCGGCCACTTGGGGATACAGAGCTAAGGGGGGTCAGTCCGCCCCAAAGGTGGGATTTTGTTTTTTGGCAGATGTTGGAGAGTTAAATGGATGATGGTTTCTATGATTTGAGGGATTCAGTGTGTTCCAGGGGCCGCACATCTGCTGGGGATCTAATGAGGGGTTCCTGGTCTCCCTGTTGGATATATTCTGTATTACG